ATTGCAATGCATATTCATATTAAAATCACGTACTTACAGCATACGTTTTGGCATTGTGCAATATTGATAACTATAACATATTTTTAGGCTTTAATATTTTTTTTAAATTTGATATTTGAATTTCAAACTTTATGGAGTGTAAAAATATATTATTTCTATTATTATTATTATTTCATTGTCAAATTTTTAAGCAGATTTCCTAAAAATTTTACATAAAATTTTGTAAATACATTTATTTATTTAAGCTTATGTATACATATACGAATACTTACTTAATATGTGTTACATATAGTTTTCATATTAGTTAACAAACACACAAAAAAAAAAAAAAAATTAATAAATATGAAGGAAAAAAACGTTTTGTTTATTGTCCTGCGAACACACCGAGAGAGAGAGTAAAAAAAAACTATTATATAATAAACGCTAATTTCAAATGTAAAATTTCCTTTACAAATAAAATATCATTTTAATACAATTACATATAATTCAGAAATGCTTTGCGGATTAGACTAAAACAATTCCGTTTAACTGTTTCAAAAAAAAAAAAAAAAAACAAAACAAAAAATAAATAAATAAATAAATACTAAACAAAATTACAATTTTTTCCATTGGAAAAGTTGTGATTCTAAAAACAAAATTAAAGTTTATGTATGCAGTGTAGTGAAAGCAACCGAAAAAAAAAAAAACCGCCGCATGTTATATCAGAAAATTTGGTCTAATGATGGTTATGTAATTGCCAATGAATTTTAACCATGCAATGTGTAAACACTATATGATCGCACACACGTATAGATTATATATATCTATCGAAAACAATTAAAACTTCATCATAAAACTAATAACGCATTTGCATATTTTGAAAAAACATAAACATAAAATTTAGTAAATTACAATTAATTTGACAATGCTTTACCATAAAATAATACTCGAATAAAATAAAAACGTTCGCTTTTATTCTTATCTTTATTTTTACCTTTTTGCGTTTGCACCAAATGTTTATCCTGACAGTGGAATTCTCACAAAGTGTGGAATCGATTTAACAATGTCCGTAGATTTGAAAAACAATATTACGACCGTTTCTTTCACTATTACTCTTAGCAAAAGAGCGGTATATGATTCCAAAACTTCGATGCTATCTGTAAGCCTTACTATGCCAATAACAGTTTGAGGTGCAAAAAGGTCGAAACAAAAATGTTCGCCTTATTCCGATTAGATCGAGTGCTTTGCAATCCGTTAGCGTTGCGATTAAAGTTCAAAAACATAGTTCGCAGCATCTGGATTCTAGATGCGTTTAAAGGCACACTGATTTCAGAAGTGCGAAAAGCATTTCAGTTTCAATAGATTGACATTCATTTTTTCGATTAGATTCCATTTCAGTGGACAGTCACTTAACCAAAAAAGACATTTTTCATCACGAACAGATACAGCTCAATTTAAAGCACATCAATGCGTTAATAAGCAAGCTTTATGGCGATTAGATGCATGACATAAAAATTTGCAAAAATCTATATGTTTCATATACCTTTTTTAAAATGGGTGAGTTGTGCCCTAAGAATTAATGAGAGAAGACACTATGTTTTATCGGGCCGCCTGCCATTTTTACAAATTGGAAGAATTGCTTACGGTTAATATGTGCTTTCCACTATGTCGTAGAAAAGCGAAAAAATGATTTTGTTGCGAAGTCATTCCGAAAGAGTGCACTTTAAAGATATTTCTGCACTATGATTATTCCACGGAAAGATATACGCTTTAAGATTTTAATATTTTCTTAACCGATTCCACTTACGGTACAAGGTGCGCATGTACAGAAAAGTTTAAACGTAAAAGGTTTTATTATACCAATCGATTCAGAATCATTTTCTTAATCGATTTAAGCACGTGTGTCGGTCAGTCCGTCTTATGAGCAATATTGCTGTGTTTAATCTACAAGTTGCAGTGAAATGTTATGGGGCAAGGGGCGAACATTATTGCAAAAGGATTGCACAAGACTATTTCTGCGATCCCTCCCCATATAACGCGTTTCTCAAAAAATGTCATTGTGTGAAAAAAACTAGCAGTTGTCATAACTTCGCCTAGTATTAGAAATTTGGCATATCAAACTGATGTGATAAATTTGAATCGCATATCGTTTAGGTTACCTAACCGTTCCTAGGTAAGATTTTACATATTTTAATACTACATAGCGAACATTAATTCCCGCGAGGAATTTGACAGAAAAGAGGAGTATTTTAATTACTTTATAATGAAAGTCGCTGAAACTACCCAAACTAGACAACTATTTCCTGGACTTCATGCAATACAAGGGTTCTTATAAAGTGTATACTTTTACGTGGCAATGAAGTCTAATTTCTAGTACTTTCTAACAAAAATACGTAAAAATTAGTAAGACCTTTAAGCCAGGACAGTTCACGCACCAATGTAAGTCCACTCAAGCAAAGTATGCTTTTACATGTAAGCGGGGTATAATTTTAGGATTTTGGTGGAGAGAATTTATGATCAGCCTTGCCTGACTATAATATTTTTACTTCTTTTTTACTTAAAAGACTTAGACAATCTTCATGGTTTGATATATGTTAGCTTCCTTGAAGCGTTCTATTATTTTCGAGTAATTTCAAATTTGTAGCCGGCACCTCCTGAATGCTCGCTGGTGTCAGAGAGAGGCCGAAGATGCTGAGATTGAAACATTTCTCTTATTTGTTTTATAACATAATTATTATATGAGTACAGTGCGTTTATATTTCCTTTTATAATAATTTGTGAAAAATCAGTTGTCTGGATCGCAATTACTAACTCTTGTGGTTCTAGAAGCATTTTCTGGAAAGAAAAAAGTCCTAGAAATACCCGACATGCTGTGAGAAAGATAGGATGAGTTAAGCTTAACTTTGAATATTGCACGACGTTGGCAGCCATCAGAGGCGTACTCTCAACGAATGTGTAGTCTGGAAAAAACATGGCAATGTTGTGAGATTCGAAACGATTTAGTTCGACTAATACCCACTCGGGCATAGGTTCTTCTTTGGGAAAACCTGCCATATAATTACAATAACAAAATATTATATGGAAGTTTCTAAACAGATGCGCATGACTTGGCAACACGAATGTCAAGGCCCGTCTGCTTACACTTTCTTTATCACGATAGTAAACATCAAAGAGAAAAAGTTTAAATTGTTTTCCCATGCATCCAATCCGCCAGATTTAGAATCCTCGGATCATTTCCTACTGCTAACATGGGCTGGCATATAGACAAGGTGATAACAATCGCAAGTTTGGAGGTTGAAATCCCTGGGCCCTTCCTATCTCCTTTTATTTTCCACTCCTTGCTAACCTCGGCTTTGTTACACGGTATAGAGACCATTCCCTAGGTGGTTAGTCCTATTTAAAAAAAAAATAAATATATTTTGGTGAAAAAAAATTGAGAAAAATGGGAAAGTGGAGTAGATGATTGACTGACAATTTGAGGAGTTCATAGATCTCACTATAAGGATGATACCGCGGTCGGCAGAAGACTATCAAAGCAATCAAAATTGACCGAAAGTTTTTGCTTCTTTCGTCAAGTTACAAAATTCTTGCCAAATGGCGAGACCAATCGCAAAACCCCTTTCATTCACGAAACTTATTTACCGTCCGCACTCTTTTATTCTCTTCGTATATTCAATGTGTTCCGCGTTTCACAATTTAGCATAAATCTTCAGTGTGTAATGAATAGTTCTTCTTATCTACCCGGCTCACTGCCAGTTAATCGCTCTTCAATTAAAGAGCATAAGTTACGGTGGAATAAAAAAAATGCTATAATAATCAGGCAAATTGTAGCTTACGTCCTTGTATAACCATAGAGTTGACACACATGATCACTTCGAAGGATAACTAAGGCCGGGCTGCATTAACTTATCATTAACAAAATAATGAAGTGTATATTAGGCAATATACGAGATTGCAAGACATGGTGAAAATCATAAAGTTCAAATGCTTATGTCATCATTTTTCTTTTTACTTAAAAAGTTTTACTGGCAAAATTTTGCCTGAGAATTTAAAAGGAAGTCACTTAACCAACTGGTGTGTGTAGTGTCAATTTTCTAAAATACTTTCTGTACGAAATTTAAAATAAAAAACCAAATTCTTTTATGCATTTTTATTAGTTATATGTATGTGAAAGCCAAGAAAAAATCGTCAATATTTTGTTTTATATGCCATTGATAGGTTTCTAAAATAAATTTCAAACAAAAAATAAGCAATAACAATGAAACTACTGTATACTTATACACACACACACACACACATATATATATATATATATATATAGTTTCGAAAGGTATTATGTGTGAAAATTATTTGCTTTTATTTGTCTCTAGATTTTACCTTTTCTTCTCCGTTTTTCTTTCATTTTTTCTTGCTGCCTGATGTTTTGTTCAACTTGTTCTATGGGTTTTCTTCAATTTGCTAGCTATGTATGTACATAAAGTTTTCCTTTTTGCAAAACTTTTGAATTTAATATCACCGGAAAAATTTCATTTACTTTCTAGGATATTGCTATTGATATAAAATATATAAACAAATAGAAATCTATAGATGCAGTTCTTATAAACTGAAATGTTAGGTTATTGGAAGAAATATTCCGCTGTATGCGGCTTTTCATTGGGTGAATTGCTAAACACAAGTCTTCAATCATTGGGAATCACAATTCAGTAAATTGTCTTTAGAGCCAAGTTTCAGTAATATATTCTCTGCAAAAATCTTGGGAAAATTTCGGCAAACTTATTATTATTATTATAAATTTTGCCTGAGAATAAAATTCTAAGACTAACATCTAAGGCTTTCGGGTTTATTAAAAAACTCTACCCCACTTGAGATTTGAACCTACCGACCATTGAATTGCTAGTCGAGACTCTTGCCTACTCTTGACCACTCAGGCAATAAACTTAATTCTCATTACTTCCCTCTAGCAAGTAAAACAGTTTCCATTTTACTTTCTTACGTAATTCTTTCAAATATTTTCTTCTTACCAAAAATTTGCGGGAAATTTCTTGACTTTTTCTACGATCTCATTGAGTATGGTTTCTATATAAAGAAAAAAAGAAGAAATTTTCATTATTATTTAAACAATTTACAATTTAATAATTTTTTATGCATAGAATATGTGTCCGGCATGTGAGGACAATCACTTATACAATCATTCGATATCTACAATAGTTTTTATATCGTACACCACTTGTGAAACAAAGTATATTAAGTTTGTGCGAACGTATGTAACACACAGAAGGGTTTAAAATAGAACCACTTTTTATTATATCAAACGATTTAGAATTAATTTCCGAATTGACCTAAGCCTGTCCGTCTATCTATCTGTCCTTTCGATATTTGGCCATGTGAATTTGTATTCTAGTTGCAGATCGCAACTTCTGAGATATTTCGATGGAATTTGGTACACTGACGTGCTTTAATCCAAGCACGAGCACTATTGAAAAAGGTTTTGATCGATCCACTTTTTCCGGTGCACCCCATAAAACACCCTAATCTGAAAATGCGTTATGTGGCGCAAAATATTGCAATTTTCATAATTTCATTACAAAACCTGCCCTGTAATAGTATTTTGACATTCTAAATTGTTATAGAAAACTTGGTTCAACTGGCGTAATTTTTTAAACCCTCTCTCATACATCCTCGAATCTGAATGCAGCGAAAAGATATCATTTTTAATATTTCACAGTGAAAATTAGCTACTAATAGCAAATTGACGTACAAATCAATCTGGCCGAATTTGGATCATGTAGGTCTATTCTTTGGACACCACAGCAATATAGAGATTCCTCCAATAAGCGGGCTTTCATGAAAAGTGTACCTTTGCATGAAAGTGATGTACAACTTTTGATGTATTATTGTCAAAAAAATAATTATTATTATCAGTTACTATATGTCTTAACACAGTGACGCCAAAAAGTCTTGCATGACCAATCTATCCGTAAACGTTGTGCCAAGTATATGTGGCCAAGTCAACTTCACCGGGTTGAGGTTTTAAGCCGCGAACAATGACGTGTTAGTCGCAGATTTTGTACACTCGGTTACTCATGTAAATATACGATATACGAAGCGAACATGCATTTACTGGATATATACGTGGCATAATGTGTCGGTATGTCGCAACCATTTGATATATTGAATTCGTATAAAATTTCATAGCATTATTCTACGTCATCGCATAAAGCGGCACGCATTATTCGAGTCGCCGCGTTTAAATAAAATTTTTTTGTGATTGTGCAGACATTTTTAGACCGATTACGACAATTTTTCGATTTGGCACAGGGGATTTCGTTAAAGAAGAATTCAAAACCAAGCACAAAAAGTGCAGATAAACGGAAAGAGAAAAAAAGGGTAGTTTTCGCATGTAGGACCTGATAATGCACTTTCAGTTATTTGCGGGCAGATTTTCGAAGAAGACTGATAACATCACACTAATTTATGAGCGAGTTTGGCCCGGTTTTTTTTGATCTTTACTCAACGATATTTGGCCAATTCATCGATTGTCTCGAGGTCGTATGTGGGGATCGAAGACTTTAATGCGGCGCTCTTTTTCAGAGAAACGTTTAACGTAACTTCTTTGCTCAACACATTGGAAAAATTGGAAAAAATAATTTCTGTGTCGCAGAAAATAATACGCAGCTGGACCACTAATGAGGTTTATGATGTGAAATATGCTACCAATTTAGAAAAAAACTTTATAGCCGGGCTAGGCCGACTATTAAATACCCTAAAGCACATTTTCTAACACAATTTTTATTTTTGCCATAGAACACAAAAGCTATACTTTGTTTTTATAGAAACTTACTATTGTGGAACTATATATTAAAAATTAGATCTCTTTGCAAATAAAGGCTTATCTTGCGTAAGGATAATTATCTCCAAGAGGTTCATAAATGATGGTACATATTCAAAATTCAGCTTAGTTAGTTTTTACATTAAACTATTATAATGGATCGTTTTCATCATAAAATGTGAACACTTGGACTTTTCTGCATTAAACACAAAAAATTTTCGTCCGGATTGTTCAAACTTATTACAGAGAATTTTTTTAAGTTAAATTTATTATTTAATGGCATTAGATCACTGGCATGTTCCACGATTCTCTAACGAAACAACATGTAGGCTTACTGTCTGCAGGCGAAGATTATCGTTATTGTCTTCCCACCCATTAAACTTCTTCGAATTACCAGTAAGCCAATGTCTTTAACGGACAGCCCGAACTAACAGTAACTACAATAACGCTAACCTAAACGGCTTTTATTTTCAATATCAAACTCGAATATTTATTATACCTAAATTATCGAAGGCAATCTTGGACAGCTGAGATTATCGGCCACTACTGACTATAACTTCTCATTGTTGATAATTCATATGTGTCCTAACCAAGGTCGGAGTGGTGTTGGTGACTTTTCGAAAGGAAGCAAGAACGGAAATGGCAATAACCATATCCAGCTAACCGCTCTTTGGACGATTTCTACTGCCTGTCCTTACAATCATTCGAAGTCAGCTGGTCAGCTGTACTTTAAATACGATAATCCTTCTAATTCAGTGTCATGCGTTAACACTATCTTAAACATTGACACTTGGCAACGTCAAAATACGTGAAAATAACTTAAAGCTAAGCGTGGAAGTAAAGAACTTTTTTTACCGTGTAAGAACATAGACAAGTATCTATATTATCAGTGTGAAAGATTGTTCCGTTAATATCACGATTACGGCCGTAAGACAGAAGACGCTTTGTCTTGACTTTCTCTACACCTGCACAAATTAGGTAAACAGTCGCTTTTTTTCAGTTTTAATTTTCCTTGTGAAAGCCGCAAGCTCGAGTTCCCTTTTCAACTCAAAATTATTATCTTATACATACACGATCTTGAGAATGCAAAATGAGTAACGTTAATTGTTTTACAACATAAGTACATAAGAATACAAGTTTTCTTCAGAACAACTGAGCACTTATTAATATATAATATCTTTGAGAGCTTGCCTTTAATAACTAAAGAGCCGGAAACGAATCAATGGTGAGATGACAGATTTCACGTCCGTTTCAACGTCTCTAACATCGACCTACTCGTTGACAGCAAAGAAATGACAGCATTTGTTTACGTGTGACTTTTTTGCCATAACGAATGTCAAGCCTTATGTTTTCTTTTGCAGCAACTGTTTCCATAGAAAAAGGTACGGTATTGTTATGAGAAGCAAACGTTTGCAAGAAATGAATCGACAGGGAAAGCCTGCCTAATCTTGTTGATAAAGGGAACAGCAAAATGACATGGAAATAATAAAAGCAAATAATAATTTCTGATGCTTATACCTGTAACTGCCATGCAATAAAAGGCTTTTGCGAAGTAACAATTAATGAACAAATGTCGGAGAACAATTAAAAGTAGAATTAGAAGAAAAATTCAATAAATTAAGCCAAGCTATCGAGAAGTTTGTACACGATTGCACGGGCTTTTTTCAAAATATTTTTATCTAAAGAAAAGCGGAGAAGTATCAAAAGTCTATAGTGGAGTAACAAAAGAATTTGCAATCAAATGACGATCTATAGAAAATTGATGTATTGACTTCAATCTTTGCATATGATACTTACATCATAAATTTAAAGTTATGTTCATAGTCTCTCGCCACTCGCCATACAAGGTTACATTAAGTCTATGAAGATGTATAAAACAGCCAGAAGGACTTGGGATAGATCCTGACTAAACAATGCCTTTCTGATTCTCTTTCTCTATGCTAGTCTGTCCGTTTTGTATGACCTTACAGCACCTGTGGTACAGGGTACATTAAGCTCGTGTGGACATATGTAAGACGCAGAAAGGCTTAAGATAGACCTACCTTTTATTATACCAGAATCATTTTCTGAATCGGTGTAAGCCGGTCTGTCCGTCTGAAGTCTGCCCATGTAAATTTGTGTTCAAGCTACAAGTCGAAATTTTTGAGACAGCTTGAAGAAATTTTATACACCAACGGGTTTCAACCCGATGACAAACACTGGTGAAGAAGGTTGGGATCCCTTTCTTAAAGCATAAAGCAGATATTCCTCTTGCAAAGATTCTATGGAATTCGCATAGCGAGGTCCAATAAAGAACGCACTAAAGTGGCGTGGAGACTTCACGTCACATAAGGGTCATCAACGTCCCTCCACCATCGTTTGATGAAGCTTCATTTATAGAATGTTCAACATACAAATTGAATCGAAGTTTACGATTAAACAAGATGCCTAGATCCAGAAATAAATTCTTCTTCTTTATGTGCAAAGAGATGTAATTTTTAGTATATAGTTCCATAATAGTAAGTTCATATAAAAACAGGATGTAATTTTTGTATTCTATGCCAAAAATATGAATTGTGTTAGAAAATGTGGTGTAGTCAATAGTCGGCCTTGCCCGATTATAACGTTTCCACTTGTTTTATTTTGTTCAAACTGTAGACCGCAACTCCAGAGATATTTTTAAAAAAATTTGGTATAGTGGCTTGTTTTGACCTAAGAATGAACCCCATTGACAATATTTCGATCCGGACCACCTTTTCGACTACTTCCATAAAACGCCTTATTTGAAAAGTCGAATAAATGTAGGATGGCGCAGGGTATTTAACGACATGCATTATATTATTGTAGTGCTTTTAATTCTTGAAATTGATTTTTTTTAAATAAAAAATTAATAAGAAAAAGCTAAACATCAGCCACGCAAAATAAGTTCCGCTGTCGCAGACAAATGAAATGTACGGATGAAACATGCTGATACCGAATTGCAATCACATAATTTTAAAAATGCCGTAAAAGCAGAAAACAGCGATGGCATGTAACAACGAGAAATAGAAAAAGAGAATCGCAATAACATTAATTTTGTTTGGTTTCTTGCATATCTTTATTAGATTCAATGAATCAGAAAGTGTTACAGACCAAAAATACTACGCGCCAAAGTATTTGCATGGAACATGACAGTAGTCCACGTCACAAATACGCGAAGCTTTGATTTATAGCCGACGGTTACACTAAATGATACAATTCGCAAACAAACTTTACGATAAAAATTTAC